TTGTCTTGCACTGCATGTAAAGATATTTTGCTGTTTTCACTGAGCAAATACCGCAGAGTTGGGAAAAAAAGACGTTTCTTTATGATCTATAGTACAACTTTTTGTGTATTTTAAACAACAGTTTGACTTTTTCAATGCAGAAGTTGAAAAACACGTGATTCTTAGACTAGAGATGCATGAAATCTGGTGTCTGCTGACCTACTTCACATATTGCTGTAAGGCAAAGTGATTTGAGCTCTGTTCAGTAGTCGGTGTTGAAGGTGTTCAAAACAGATTATTTGGAACAAGTCTATTATATTTGCTGCGCGTGGGAGAGGAATGTAACCAGAAAACTTTTATAAGGAAGACCCCATCAGCTTGTGTTGATTTTAGTGCCATTGACCCAAGTTAACCTGCTCTGGCACTTTTGTGTCACAAATATAATGCAGCGAATGTTGTCGATTGTTCAATGTTGAGATATGAAAAGCCAAACTTTTGAAAAAGAAAAAAAGAATTGCTATTAGGCTGTAATTTATAAACTTAAATAGATTAAATTCAAAATTACTGGCCGGTAACAAGTTTTTCAATATTATTCTGACAAATGTACAGTATTATATAGCACATATTTTCCTAGCTCTAGAGGGTCTAGAGAGTTAATGCAGCAAGTGTGATCATTTATGCACAAATGTTTATTTCGAAGTGCAGCCCACCACCCTTTTGCACGATTGTAGTTTAATATTTTGTGAAATATGCAGCTGAAAGTTGTTTCTCTTTTCAGTCTAGCACTTTGTGATGTGTTGCGTGAAAGTTGGTTTGTTAGCAGTTTTCCATCAGATGATCGCTGGATCAGCAGCTTAATTTTAATTTGAGATGGTGTTAACATCTCATTTCATCTGCTGCCATCCGGTCTGGCAGATAAGCTTTTGTTTCAGAGGTATGATATTGTAGCCCGACTGCCACAATATTTAGCAGCATTGTTCAAACATAATAAATTCCACATCTGCTTTGCTAGCACGGGGTATTTGTTTTACACATAAATTATCCACTTCACTTGCAAACTTGTGTGTATTATCAAGACTCTGGCTGTGTTTAATTAAAAGGAAAAAAAAGCATCATTCAGCAGGATATGAGCGAGAGAACCTCTTGGTGTTATCTCAGAATAAACAGCAGAAAGCTGTTGCTGGAGGACTGATTCCAGGGAAGTCAGTGTAACACAAAAATGGCATTCAGTCGATGTGACTGACCCATTGACTAGATCTGATACACAAAATGATGTTTAACAGTTCAATAATTCTGTGGCAGCTGCTACATTTTTTTTAAAAGATTTCCATCTGATTTTACTAGTTGATGGTCATTGGGCCATATGACTTGCTGCAGCTGATACTCATTTTATGTGCTTGTATCACATTCCGTATGTAGGTCAAGGTAGTCTCTTCAGAAGTGCCATCCCTTGTGAGTTAATCAGATTATTTTTCACCTCCGCGAGCTGGCTATCTTGAAAATCCTCATTATGCAACTCCTAATGGCATTGAGCTTAATTAGGTCACCTGCACATAATGTTTTTTTAATGTACGAGCAGTTCATCATAATCAAGTGCACTTGAAATACTTTAGTTGCCTCACTTTCAGGAAGTATCTTTTCAGACAGAGCAGCAAAAAATAAGAAAATGAGAAAACAGGCACTCGGCAGATAAGACAGACGCTCTTTGTGCTTAAAGTGAGAGATTTGTTGTTTTCATTGCAGAAGCTGGGCCGTGACCCCTCTGATGAAGACTGCTTCTTTGACCTCCTCAGCAAATTCCAGAGCAGCCGCATGGATGACCAGCGCTGCCACCTCGATGAGCCACAGAATGGAGACAACAGAGAAGGCGCCGCAACCTCCATGTCATCCCTGAGTGAGATGATAGGTTTGTGACAACAGCATATGCCTTTTATGTCTTTTGTGTCCTATCTTAGGATTAACTGCTTTCTTTATGGCATCTCTGTTCTTGCTGAAAGCTCATCCCTGCAAAGGTTTGGGATCTACCAGATCATTTGCACTCACTGGGATATCTCCGCCCCCCTTTTTCTTTAGATCCTGCAATTACCACTTCCCCCCAGACAGAGGAGCTGTTTGATTTGATCGCCAGCTCTCAGAGTCGACGTCTTGATGACCAACGCGTTAATGTTGGTAACCTCCCGGGCCTGAGGATTACTCATAACAACCTGGGTCACCTGGTGGGAGAGGGAGATCATCAAGAGCCCAGTGATGACTTCTTCAACATGCTTATTAAGTGCCAGGTAATGACACATTAGCACACACATAAATTTGAAATGTGGTTGTTGTATTGTTTATGTAGGTTGCCTCTTTAGCAAATGTGAATCCTATATTAAATAATCTGTATGCGCTCTTTCTGGTTCTAGTCATCTAGAATTGACGATCAGCGGTGCTCCCCACCAGAAGCGGGCCCCCATGCCCCTACGGTGCCTGATGAAGACTTCTTCAGTCTGATCCAGAGGGTGCAGGCCAAGCGTATGGACGAGCAGCGCGTCCAGCTGCCCACAGATGACCAGGAAAGCCCTCCGTCCCCAAGTCCCGAGCCAGCTAGCGGATTTTCCAGCTAGGATTTGGTGAATAAAGCTTCATGTCAAAGAAAATGGAAGCAGGAAAAAAGGAAAGGATGAGCCAACATTTAAGGACAGTACTAAAGGGTGAACTAACAAGCTTTTTAATAACAAGACAAATTCAATGTGCAATAGATGTTGCCCTGTTAAATGTTGCTCAGTGTATTATGTTAAATGTGTGTAAATATAATGGCAAACAGGCAGAATTTAACCTCAGTGATGCAGAGAAGAGGAAAATGAAAGTGTGGGGGTGACATGATTACAAATATTAAATATATATTTAATCTAATGCCTTAATCAGCATTAAAAAAAAAGAATCTGACTCAAGATTGTATTCACGGGTGTCAGATGTGTTTCTTCTAGAAGCACATTGTATAATATGGACATTTAATATAGATAGCTACAGTGGAAGTCACAAAGACTTATTTATAGAAACAGTGTTGACATTAGAGAATCTTAGAATCTTAAAAACATACCTGATAATGAAAATTTGAGACAGATATATCTGAAGTGCTCAATGCTGCTTTTATCATTCGATTTTCGTGGTCCCCACTGCTCATAGAAATGTGCTGTTATTTACAGTATTACAAACCCTATCCCCCAGTGTTATGACAAAAAATGCTTTGGTCAATTTGAACTTCTCCATTATTGGTAACTGCACTCCATCCACACGAAGCGATTATATTTGGTTAAATTAAAACACTGATTTAAGTCTGGTTTCCCACGAAAATGCAATTTATGCGAATCTATGCCTTTAAAAAGTGCATCTCACATGCTGTGCTAATGTTACTGAGCAAAAAAACAAAACAAAATCTGCAACATTTCACAGGCTCAAAAGTACGATGGTGTGATATTTAATCTCCAGTTTATGTTTCTGCTTGGCTTTTAAAGTGGTGCTATCTGCTGCCCTTTGTGTTCAAAAAATTCTGATAATGGACTACTGCTACTTACTGCCTTTATTGTTACTTAAATAGACTTAGAAGCAAATATATTAAATAAGAAATGAGACACGTGTGTCATATTTTGAAAATTCTAACACGGTGAGCAATGCTAACTCTGTGTTGCTACTATATGTTGCCTCTCGGTGGCCAAAATGTAGTATTACCTCTGTGAAATGAAGAGTGCAGTCTGTCGGGGAAAACAGGCTTCCCCTCTTCTAGAATATTTGAAGGTTTATATTATACCTACATTCTGTTCTGCACAAATTCTGCAAAGTTATGCTAACCTGTACCCTAATTGTTACCATGATATATTGTTTGGTAAACTTTAAATTGCACCATTAAATCCAGGTACGGCCTGGTGCACTTTCCTGTTTCTTACAAACTTTTCTTCTTGGTTTTTTCGCTAAAGGCTTGAAAATATTTATTGTACAAAGTGACTGCATCATGGCACCGAACATATTTGACCTTACCCAGTGGCTTGCTTTATTTTTAATTTTTTTTAATCAAAAGTAGTACCTCAGTGCTTACATGAACCTTAAACATACTGAATTGTGAATCAGGATGGATCATGTACCACAGTGCTTTATGTTTGGTCCATCTCTCTTTGATAAACAACACATTGGGAGCTAAGATTAAAAAAATTCTCTTCATGTTTTTTGTGAATTAACATTTTTTTAGACACTACACGGTACGCTTCGATTTGTCTTTGCCATAATTTGTATATATAAAGATATTTTGTATTTATGTTCCTTTTAAGGGCATGAATATGTCCCCTCATGCTTTTAATAAAATGTTTGAGATGTTTAGTTTGGACTTGTTTTTAAAAAAAAGCTTGCATGCATTAGTTCCTCTTTGCTTACACGTACACCTCTGTGCTGTATGAACCTTGCAATCATTTGAATGGATTGGATTTCTCAAGCTGTAATCTTTTGTGGAACATTTCACAAAAAGCTAATCGGACTCTGTTGGCCCACTCAAATATGGTTGCTCAACTAAGACTGGGTAGGAATGTGAAGAATTAAATATAACAAACATAAAGTTTCTTATTTGCATTTACACCACTCCCTGCATCACATTGGATAAACCTGCGGTGTAATTACAGCTGTTTTAATCTGCATAGTGTAATTACAAAGCACTGCAATTCTATTATATAATAATTAGATTCAATATTCGGTTAAAAAGCACCATTATAATGCATCTGTGTTTTTTAATGGTTACATATCACTTAATCAAACTTCCTCAAACACTGAGCATTTTTGCATGTCACATGTCCTCTTCTTCTCATCAGATATCCCCCAAACTTGCAAAGACACACTGACCACAAGATTTTAATTTACTAAGGGGGTGTGTTGATGTGCAGCTGTCAGACCATGCCACTCCGCTTTCCCCACTTCCTCCTGTCCATCATCCCTTCTTTCCTCCCTCCTACCCAGAATGCAATGCAAACTTGAGCAGGCTCAGGCGAGCTATAAAAAGGCATAGAAGCGGAGAGGGAGGGCTGGCGTGCAGCAGGAACTGTGCAGTCACACGCACACGGGGATCCAGGGACAGCAGCCCCTTGCGCTGAGATCTAAAGCCACAACGCGAAAGAGAGGTCAGTACAGAGGACAAAGGCTCTATAGAGGAAAACAGGCAGGAAACGCCTCTGAACAGGGCTGGGTTTGTCAGAGAGGGAGACAAATAGAGGAATATCGGAGAGACAAAGTGGGCAGGGCTGTTTGACGGGATGGAGAGTGGGAATGACAGAGGCAGAGGTTCTTGTGGGAACTGTCATGGGACCGTTTAGTCACACTTTAAAATGTTTGACATTTCTTTTTTTCTTTATGTGCCAAAGGAGCCAATCATGGATTTCTTTGCAGTGTAAAGGCATGCAGGGCTCGTCTGTCATTCACAGTGATGTTACTTAAGGCATTACATCATAATTATCCCCAAAACTATAATTAGCACTGATTGTATTTGCTTGTTTTGCTTTGACTTTTCCTTCTCTGGTTTCTTCTACTTTGATACCGTGTCAACATTCTCCTGAACCTGCAGCCATTTAAAAGGGCATTTTCATGCAACCCCGCGTAGCCATTAAAGTCCGCTGCAAAGCTTTCAGAGCCTGCGAGGATCATTAGCAGCTGATGGGGGCTGAGTGCTATTGATTCCTGTTTTTACGTGCAATTTGGAGCACAGACACATTAATAACACCCACAGCAAACAATTGAATGTCTCATGCTCCATCCTTCCACAAACAACACGGAATATCTCCCACCGCACTGACGTCAAAGGGTCCCCTGATTTCCCTTAAAGGGACAGCTCTCAATTAAAACCGCAGAGCACCCTGGTAACCAAACGATTTACAGGGAGAATGTGCTGTTAGATCATCGCTTTCTGTGTTTTGCTTTCAGGGGCGGTCAGTCAGAGCTTCATCTCCATGGGCTTTTTAGGAATGCTTGACAGATAACCTTTAACAGCTGCACATCGGCTTGAGTCTTTTTTTAGCAGGGCCGCATGTTTAAAAACGGTAATTAGACATGAGGGTGGTGCAGGCAAGATGGACTGTCCCATCTTCCTTAGGATGGATGTAATGGTGATTGTAGGATCTGTAAAGATAGAATTAAAAAAATCCAAAACTGCATATATGAATAGACCACCACTACTATATCAGGTTCTCTAAATAATTTCAGCACTTGATTGGACTGAATTGAATTTTCATATTGCAGGATTATATAAGGGACAATTTAGACACCAAGTCTCTGTTAAGACTCTCCCGAGGAAATGTAGTATGTAGTTTCCCTTCCATAATTGCAGACAGTGTTAAATGCCATGCCCACACCTAGGAGTTGTGCAATCAGGAGTTAGTACACATATGACGTGTCAGGACACAGAAGGTGGCACCATAATAGGCCACACAGAGACTCCCAAAACAGGTTCTGTGCTGACTCAGATGTCAGCCTCCGAGTGACATTTACCCAGACCACAGGGTTAATGGCTGCTGACATACAACTGGACACCTGAGAAGCAACGGCAGGGAGCACTGAGGCGTAGTACAAGTGAGAATCAGAGAACAAGCTGACAAACTTTTAATGCAAACCAAGAAGCACACACTAGGTTTAGGAATGTACAAGTTTCCTTCAGATTAAGTATACTTTAATGTATATCTTGCTTTTTCTGTCTGGCAGTTTAGCCATAAAATGACTCATATCGCACTGTTCTGCAAGCGTATTTTGCAACCTGGCACTATGCAAACTGTACTATTTGAATTGCAAGGGCTAGATAAAATGCAAACTGCTGCAATGTCACCAGGTCAGGTTTGTTTCAATTAATTTAATGCTACTCCTCGAAGTGTGGTTCTTTTAATGCATTCTAATAAAATCTTGCCACAGTAAAACAGTTCCTGGAGATCCTTGAGGAATATTTAACTCCTATTAAATAATAAATCCTAAAATACTGTTTTTTAGTTGTTCATTTAAATACACGGTCCACGATTACACTCAAAATGTCCAACACTGCACCTATGAAGATATTTGTCACCATATAATGTTTTTTTTCTGGTGTACAGTGTGTCCTTTCCTTTTTAGTGCCAATGCCAAGGCACTTGGAGGCACCAAGTAACCTGAGAAGTACTCTCTTGCCTTTTGACACACATTTAATTTGACATACAAGCAGCTTCTTAAGTTACTTTAAGACTATAGCTAGCCAATTTGTTTCATGTGTGTAACATAGTAACAAGCACAATAGCCAAAAAGTGCTGTATGCATAACTCCAAAGGCACACAAGTAGTGCAAAAACTCACCTCAGTGCACAGCAGCTGTGTGAGAGAAATCCATTTAATTTAGGAAACAATACATGACAACTTTGACAGAGTGTGTGGGCATATTTTTGACTGGCACTGCTTTAATTAAAGTATTTTGTTTTTCAACTGTATGTTCAGACGGACATGCAGCTACTTGAACATGCCTATTTATGCCAGCAACCCAGCCTTCTTCCTCATTCTTCAGACTTCTGTCTTTGAGTCAGCTAAAACGGACATGTAAACGGGAAACAAACTGGCTATTGTCTTTTTTAGATATGCCCAGGTCTATTAATACAACACTAAAAGGTATTTTATTACGCCAAAGGTTTTGTGAATCAAAATATGCTCATACCAGGTTTAACACTATAGGAAAGAAAAGCAGGGTTGCCATTAACAGCATGCTGTGTGCTGTTGTGTCTGCTCAGTCATGCTCAGTACACTGTACTCTCAATGACACACCAGAAAACTGGCTTTTCCTACATTATACTATACAAAACACACACACAAACAAACTGTTGTGACTTTACCAGGAATAGTAATATTGCCAGCTTTACCAAAACCAATTTCCCCCCAAAAGTTGGAATATTGTGTAAAATATAAAATTGTTATGACATCTACTCCAAAATTTTCTCTGCTTTTGTGTCAATTCCTTAAAGATTTCATATGAATTCTGTTAAACTTTTAATTATAAATACTGAAATATCAAAATTATTTTCAATTTTATGCTGGGAATTATTCTAAAATGAAATGAAATGAAACAAAAAAACTATTTTAAATAGAGCAATTTGATCTTTTGAGCACACAAAACTGTCCTGTATTGCTTAAAGAATATGTAGAGGTGAAAACGACCCTGTTATGGTGATTATAGCCTAAATCTGGCACAGTAATTAAGGTGATCATGCATACATAATCCAAAGTTATTGATTTATACATTAAAGGGCTACCTATAAATCTATGCCTTGCTTGACCTTGCTTGCTGTATGTATCTTCTGTGAATATATTCACTTTTCTGTGTCCTTTTCTCTCTTTTAGTTGACCGAAAACACTCAGACATAACACAATGGCAGGTAATTAATACACCTGTTCAAGTATTATTATAAATGTCTCTTTATTGATGATAATGAGGTGGAACGTGTTCATTTGTGTGTTTATTATTAATCTAATGGAGTAAAGGAAAGCAGACAGACAGTTGCGTTTCCATGGACTCTACTGCCCTCTTTTGGACAGTTTGGATAACACAGGGAAGGTTTTAATATGTACATTTTAAAAATATTGCGCTCGGATTCTTTGTCGTGATATTGCATTTAATGAAAAACCCAGACACGATCGCAGAATATGATTAAGAACAAATGGAAATGGCCTTATTGGCTAGATTTGCAATTCAGACTTTGTTATAAGTGCCTGGGAACACTTGGCAACAAAACAAGGGATAACAACAGTTGCCATGCCAACACTACTTAAGCAATAGCACTAAGCTAGACATAAACAAGCTCAGTCTAAACAGCCTGTTGCAGCAGTTAAAAATGGACGTGTTTTCTTCTTCATCATGTGCGCGTCTTTCCTCCACATCCGACTATCCAGACGGTTTGTTACAAAAACGTTTTCCTTGTGATTTGAACTTTTGCTGTCAAGAAAAACCTCCCGATTCACGCATGTATAACTTTGTCTGTGCCTGCTCATTTCAGACAAGCTCAAAGATGCCAAGATCATTTTTGTTGTGGGTAAGTACCCTGAGCCGCTCTTAGCACTTTAGCAGTAGCGCATTTAGCTTTTATTTGCCTTCATGCCACATGACTGTTTTTTTTTTGTTTAATCTTCTTTTAAAGGTGGGCCTGGCTCTGGAAAGGGCACCCAGTGTGAGAAGATAGTGGCAAAGTACAGCTACACTCACCTGTCATCTGGGGATCTGCTCCGTGCTGAGGTGGCTTCTGGCTCTGAGAGGGGCAAGCATCTCCAGGCCATCATGCAGAAGGGAGAGCTGGTACCTTTGGTAAGAGAGGGCACTATAACTGAAATAATTGTGGGTATGCATAATTTAAAAGAAAACAAAAGGTTTCATGTTTTTTTTGTCCAATACTAAATGAAAAGACAAAATACAAGTGTCAGCTCTTCTAAGACAGCTTTTTTTGTCAGTGCCATATCATAGTGAAGATTGATCATAATGTTTTGGGGCTACCTGCAGGACACAGTCTTAGACATGATTAAGGAAGCCATGATTGCCAAGGCTGATGTCTCCAAGGGTTTCCTTATTGATGGCTATCCCCGTGAGGTGAAGCAGGGGGAGGAGTTTGAGAAGAAGGTATGGGCTTAATTCATCTTTGCAGCAATGATTTAAAAAAAAAAGAAAGAAAGACGGAAGCTTAAATGAACAAACTGTCTTTGATCCCAGATCGGCAAACCCTGCTTGCTGCTGTACGTCGACGCAAAAGCAGAGACTATGGCCAAGAGGCTTTTGAAACGCGGTGAGACCAGCGGCCGCTCTGATGACAACGAGGAGACCATCAAGAAGCGCCTGGACCTGTATTACAAAGCAACCGAGCCAGTGATTGCCTTTTATGAGAGCCGTGGTATTGTCAGGAAGGTGTGTGCGACTGCTGCGACAGCGGAAAAACAACATTTGAATCTCACGTGAAACGTCAACATATATTCTAACGCATCCATTGTCATCTTATTTTGCCCAGGTTGACTCAGAGCTGCCAGTGGATGATGTCTTCGGCCAAGTCTCCAAGGCTATTGATGCTCTGTAGTAAAGCAGCATAACTAGATGGGCCTGTGTCTGATTGTTTATTTTCAAATTTCAAAAAAACAAACTAAAAAAACAAACAAAAAAAGCCAAATCAAAAGAGAAACAATACACTTTCAACTCATTTGGCCATCAGTCTCAAAGATGTCTTAACTTTAATCCTAATCCAGCAATAAGAACCTAAAATTTTAAAGTTACACAGAAATGATTCTGTGTGAAGCAACTTTAAAAAATATCTCTATATGTACAACGTATAAGTCTTGTTTCCATTCTATACTTAACATTTACAGATATGGATGCAGGCCTGTCTACAACTCAGAGGTGCTGTATACAAGAAATATTAACCACCTTCTAACCTTTAAGGCCTACACTTGGTCAAACACGCACTTTACACTCCCCCTTTTTTCTCCTCTTAAGTGCTGCCGTATTAGAACCAAGAGTTAATGACTTCTTTATACATTGTGCCATTAAATAACTGCAGAGATCACTGTGGACAAACTGGTGGAACTTCATTTTCATGTTCGTTGATGGAGCTTTTAAATTACAGTTGCTGACCGCTTTTAACTTCACACGGTCATTTCTGTTAATCTATTTACCGTTACATTTAAAGCACAAAAATGTTCAATTTCTTTTCTATTTTTTCATTAAGATATACACATGTTACATGTATTTCTATAATGTGGTATATGTAAAAATGAAAGATTAAAATAGCCTATAATAAAAAACAATTTGAGTTATTACTGGTGATTGTGTTACCATTGCCCTGCAGTCTGTAGTAATACTTAAAAAACATACTGTCTTCTTTACAGTGTATAAAACAATATAAAAGTCATATTGTGAGGAATCCTGGACAACAACAAGCGCACCTAAAAAGGGGACTTTGACCAGACTTACGAGTTCAAAAGGGGAAATGGTGGTGTTGCTGAAGCTTGTAGACACAACAGGATGCAGAAAGCTGTGAGCCAGTCCTCTCCTGTTATAAAGTTTTCCCTTAAGACCTTGGTGACCACCTGGTCTTCACTTGCCTCTCATCTTCCTCTCTCTCGCACACACAAACACACATTTCCAGCTGGCCAAGCAAACACTGCGGCAGGTATCCGGACTACTCTCAAAGGAGAGCTCTGATCATGACCGTGTGCTGCAGGGACAAGGAAGAGGAAAACAACCTCTGAAAGGTGCACAGGATGTGTCCATTGGAAAGTCAATCAGGAGACGGCGTCTCTATGCGCTTTCATGAAGCCATTGAGGATGCGGCCTGAATGCTAGGAATGCTGGTCTTACTTAATAAAGGTAGAAAACAAAGGGAATGACCAGAGGTCGCAGTGGAATTTATCACGTACAGCAGAGAAAGAAAGACAGAGGCGCATGTCTCTGAATGGGGGAGAGAGGTGAGAGGGAGACGGGGGTGATAGCAACCCTAAGTGTGTGCGCGTGTCTACTTACCTACAGCCCTGCAAGTTTGGGATCTGCAACCAAGCTAACCTATTCTGATTTACTAAAAAATATATACAATACAGAGCAAATGTTTTGAGTCCCCCTTTATTTCTTGCTCTGTTATTTGGTGCTTTTGGTTTATTTAAGTAGTCTGGGCTTCTTGAAGGGCATTCAAAGCTCTTCTTTGGATGTTGGCTTACTTTTGTTGATCCCACACTGCTTCAATAATGTTAAAGTCTGAGCTGTTTCTGAGTGTTTGCTATCATTGGTATGATGAAAATTGAAATTTTTGACAATCAGATTGTATTACACAGGGGCTCAAACTCTGATGGCACTTTTATGCGTTCATATTTCCATCAATTTTAACAAGATCAACTAAACTACTGGCTGGAATGCAACCAGAAACCCACGATAAAGCCTCCACCGCATTCTGCAGAGGGTTGTTGACACTCACCGTATCTCTCTCCTGACCTTTAATTTATGGATGATGATTTGAGGCTTTGGAAACAGTAGATGGATCAGCTAAAGGCCCAGGCCTTTAAGGGCATGACTTTTGGATGTCGATCATCAGTGTCCTTAAGATTTTTTAAGGACTACTGCACAGCAGATATGCCAAATCTTAAGTTAATAGGATTTGGGGAATCATCTTGTTGTTACACTTCAAGAATTATATATCTAGCTCTTTGAAAGCAAGAATATAACAAAATAAAGATTGGCTCCAGACTTTTTTTTTTTTACACAACACCGTGTGATGTTGTGTAAAAAATTAATGTATAAAAGAAGAGACCATTCATTACATTTTTCATTTGCTATTGTGGCAAATATTTTAAAAAGGTAGCAGGCCTGCATTGCAGACAGGCCACATTTGCACCTAGACTCTTTTGCTATGGAAGAATTCTGATGAGTGTGCAGATTATAGTTTGGCATTCTCTGCACATGATTCTTCAAAAACATTCATATATAAAAATTTCATCTCTTGCCCACTGATGCCTTCTTGTTCCAGTAGCCCACTTCTCATCAGGGCATCCTGATTCCTCAACATCTGGACCTTGTTAATCCGGGTGACATCCAAGCTGACATGACTTCATATTTATTTTAAAACACACACACACACACACACACACACACACACACACACACACACACACACACACACACACACACACACACACACACACACACACACACACACACACATATATATATTTAATGTGGGTGTAGGTTCAGCTCTTAACAAGCTGGAAATTCTCTTGCCTCCTCAAACCACAGGCTTGGTGTACATTACTTGGATTGGTTGGACCAAGAGACAGTTCTTCACTTTGACTGAGACTATCTTTAATGAGCTCGGGCTCAATGAAAGTTGTGGCATTTTTGTATATTTTTTTTTTATTGCATGAGCTGCATTTGCTGAACTGATGATGAATGTTCACTGTCAGTGGTTTTTAGTGTTGTGATGTGCATTTTCTTTTTCTGGTGTTGCCCCTTGCAGTTAAAGGCTGCTTTAGATTCTCTGGATTATTTAATGATATGTGTTATTTACAGTATGAAGATACATCACCTACTATGCAGTATGAATAGAAAATAACCCCCAAATTCTTTGCATTTATATGTTGAAAAGCATCATTTTTAAATTGTTCAAGTATTTGCTCACATAGCCTGTCACTGAGTGGTAAACTCTTTCTGTAATTATGAGTGAAAGACAGGTTTTCCAGTGTTTTCCATATCGCAGCTTTATCAAAGCGGCATAGGGAGTGTTGTTAATATAAAATTCAAAGTAACATATTACAGATGATACATTTGCAAGTTTGATCAGTAGATGTTTAATTGATTTAGTCTTGTTTTGGTTTCCTTTTAGGGGTCATCTCGCCTCTGTCAGTGCACCCCAGGGCAGCTGTGGCTACAATGTAGCTTTCCATCACCAGTGTGTGAATGTGTGTGTGAATGGGTGGATGACTGAATGTAGTGTAAAGCGCTTTGGGGTCCTTAGGGACTAAGTAAAGCGCTATACAAATACAGGCCATTTAACATTTACCATTTTCATCTAAAGTTTCACTGTCCTCCTTCTGTCCTCTTCTCTCCCTTTTCTTTTCATTCTTTAGCTCCTTAAATGACTCCATCCACCTTCTCATCACGCTCTCTTCACACATTAGTACATTTGCGTCTCTGTCCTTAATTGCCCTAACTTGCTGCACATCCTTTCCAGCACACACTCTCTGCCTAGCCAATTGATGCAAGTCCTATAAGGCTTTGCCACCTCTCTCTTTAATATACAACTAGACTTTAAGTACTCCTTTACTACTTCTTCCCCTTTTTCTTTGCCAGCCTCTTCCTTCAAATACTTGCCTGTACTCTCTCTTTCCACCACCATGTGTCATTGCCTTCTTTCTTCCATCCAGAGGATACACCAAATACCTTCTTTGTAGTTTTACTTAGTTCTTCACTCCTTTTTGAACTCAACAACATTTTTCCTCCCTCACCTTCCATTGCTTGGAAGTCTAATTCACTACTAAGTCAAAAATGATTTGCACATCTTTACACTCTTTTTTCACTAATAGATTTTATGCAATGTTCCAAGTCCAACACCTGCACAACGAACAACAAGCAGGGAAGATCTGAGCACTTATTTCTTCATAGCCTATGTAGGATTTGATTTTTTTTTCTTCAGTGCCCCCCTGTGGAGGTTTTTTAAACAGTAAGTGAATGGCCTTGCATGCACAAATTTATTTGCTTTAAAACCTGGTTAAAAGGCAAGTTTCAAATGAAACAGTCCATGTGTGAGATTTCAGCCAAGGCAGAAAGGACGATCTGAAAAAAAGGTGCACATGATGTATAACTGCGTTCACTTATTTGCACAGCAGAATCTAACGTCAGCTAGAAATTCTAAGGAAAGGCTTGTTGGGCTTTGTTTATTCCAGACATCGGGTATCTCATGATCTCATGGGAGCCATTCCAGCTACCAGTAACTTATGTATACAGAGGTTGTTTTTTTTTGGGGGGGGGGGGGGGGTTTGGAGGAGGAGGAGGAGGAGGAGGGGGGGTCAACTTGCTTAGAAAATGACCTGCCTGCTTTCAGACTGTCACAGACTGCTACCAGGGCCTCTCATTTAACTCAAAGATAAACGCACTCTAACAAAAGCCTTGGATTACTTTTAAAGGTGAGATATGATTTTGCAAATGGGACTTTTCTATAATGAAGGTCTTGCCAATTAAACAGCATAGGGGATTGTGGGTGTAGGTTCAATTGCTTTGTAAAACGGACAGACTTCTGTTCATCTGGTATCAGTCTGTGAAATTACCAGTGGAAGGCCATGTGTCAGATCCCCCCTCGGAGTACGATAAGGAAATAAGTAAGCTGGCTCATAGTCCTCATTCTCCTTCTACTTTTCTGTGGACTGTATAGCACGGGCTGGCTGGCACCACCACAGAGACCCAGTGGCACCGTGCGGGAACCAACGTCAACTTGTGATGAAAGACGACAGCCGATTGTTTCCTGTTATTGAAAAAGGACGCATGGGTGGGGGTGGAGAGTTGGGGGCTGGCTCCAATAAAAAAGGAATGCCATTGAAGCAGAGGGCTACTGTCCTTTAGCTTCAGAGGGACTTAAATACCTGAAGCAAATGCAAAGTGTGATATACGCCTCAGTACGAGAGCACTGCAGTTGTTTGAGCATCAATGGACACAAGTAGCACGCAGTCGTCTCTGTTTCGTGTCACATCCCATGTGCACTTCTTTGTTCATTCCGCCTGAAGGAATGTGGTCATTTTACAGAGTCCATACACAAAATACTAACCAGACTTAGAGACATGTGCTGCCTTCATTAAACGTGTCCACTAAACTGTGTACACGGAGGTAAGTTCAGAGTGACTTAGGCAGTTAAGTATTTCTTTTACATTCCTATATTGCACATGTAAATCATTAGGGAGAGAGAAAATGAAAGAAAGCCACAAAACACTTGTGCAAGTGTTTGCTACTGGACTTTTGTGATTACTGTGAACACTTTTGTTGCATTGTTGATTTGATACGATGATGACTCCTCCGAGTCTGTTCAGTGCAAAAAGGATGTTGTGTCTACTCTTCAGAACTCTCACTCTTTCTTTGTGAGGCTGATGTAGCCAAATATAAACACAGTTCAAAGAAAAATCAAACTTTTTTTCCCCCCAGTTTTGGTTTTTAAAGTAAGCAGCTCGTAAAAATGTCACACTATTTTGTTTTTATTAAAAAAAAATTACAAGGTGTTCCTACACATAATTGCAAATAACAAAATATTTTTGAAATGTTAAATAAGTAATTAATTTATGTATGTA